AAATTGCATTTAAATGTCCCTTTTGTTAGCATGGAGTTTAATGCATAATAAAACTCTCCCTCCCTTGGATTACAGCACAATCTGACTAGCGGCTAATAACGGCATTTTACACGATGTTCAAGACACTTTTTTAAATATTTATCACAGCATCCCCATCCCAGGGTTTTCCGTGTTGTTGGGCCAAAGTTCAAATCAAATCATCCTCTGGCAGATATGAAGATTAAGTCGGAATTAATCAGCAAACATTTGGAAAATCTATTTCTCTTTCAAGTCATTTATTAAAACAGGATATAACTAAAATACTAATTGATCTCCGAAGTGAGGATTTGCTGATTTCCTCTTTTATCTCACAATTACTTTTGGGTGTTCCTGGATAATTTGAGACCTTCCTTTAAACTGTGGCTTTTTTTCACGATGGTCTTTATTTTATAGATTTAAAATAATGATGTTTTAGCTTGTTGACATTTAGTGATTTAAAGTGATTTTTATAACATATTTTCTTGGGTTAAGTTGTTATATGGATTGTTTGTGACCAACGTTGTAAAACTTAAGACTTCTGTGTGTGTGTGAGTTTATCTGTGTGTGTGTGTGTGTGTGTCTGAGTGTATCTGTGTGTGTCTGTGTCTCTATGTGTGTGTGTGTGTGTTTATCTGTGTGTGTGTGTGTGTGTGTGTGTCTCTGTGTGTGTCTCTCTGTGTGTGTGTGTGTGTGTGTGTGTGTGTCTGTCTTTGTGTGTGTCTCTTTTTGGTAAAGTTGTTATATGGATTGTTTGTGACCAACGTTGTAAAACTTAAGACTTCTGTGTGTGTGAGTTTATCTGTGTGTGTGTGTGTGTGTGTGTGTCTGTGTCTCTCTCTGTGTGTGTGTGTGTGTGTGTGTGTGTGTCTGTGTCTCTCTCTGTGTGTGTGTGTGTGTGTGTGTGTGTGTCTGTGTCTCTCTCTGTGTGTGTGTGTGTGTGTGTCTGTGTCTCTCTCTGTGTGTGTGTGTGTGTGTGTGTCTCTCTGTGTGTGTGTGTGTGTGTGTGTGTCTGTGTGTGTGTCTGTCTTTGTGTGTGTGTGTGTGTGTGTCTCTTTTTGGTAAAGTTGTTATATGGATTGTTTGTGACCAACGTTGTAAAACTTAAGACTTCTGTGTGTGTGTGTCTGTCTTTGTGTGTGTGCGTGTGTCTCTTTTTGGTAAAGTAGTTATATGGATTGTTTGTGACCAACGTTGTAAAACTTAAGACTTCAGGGTTGTGTCTAAACTCTCGGCGTGCGCCCTCAAACCAAAATGCAGATTTTCCACGTAAAATGTTAAAGTGATGCCAAAAAAACAATATTTCTATTCCTCCAAAAGTTCTCTTTGATATATCTTATAAACAAGACCCACAGTACTCATGCTATATCTTTCTAGAAAAACCCCTGGATTCGATTCACACTGTTTTCAAAAAATAAATAACTCAGGTTTTCGGGGAATATATATAGAGCGTGTGAAACATGTAAACATTTTAATTAAACCATCAACTATCAGGATAATGAGCATGTAAACAATCCTCAAATGTGCAAACCACGTCCAGATATAACAATAACTCAAACGATAATAAAATAAAAGGCGATGTTTGCATGTAGGACGACCCGGTGATTTGTGCAAAATCCCCTCTTGCAGCGTATTTAGTGGCACAGACACAATAATACTGATAATCCACAGAGACGTCACCCAGCTTCACTGCATATACACGGACATTCATATTCACAAAGCACCACCAGAGAGATGTCTTCCTCACAGAGGACAGGTTGGGCGCCTTCATTTTCCATCGAGTACGACCTCGGAAAACACAAAGAAAACTGCGTAAAACTGAAGATTTTTTAAAACGTGGGTCCGTGTGCAAAGTTCCCGGAAAGAAGCAGATGGATCCAGTCGAGGTGATGTGAATCCAATCATGATAAAAACACATGTGCGTTCTTCAGGGCGTCAGCAGCAGCAGCTCAATGACATCCAGACTAGATTTTTTAGGAGGAAAAACAACAATTCTAAATAAATGGCTGGTTCACTGACTCACATGTTTTCAGTTCACACCTGGCATCAGACATTAAAGTAATGGTTTGTGATGTAACGTAGTGATGTGTCCGTGCATAGGATAGCCGTTAAAAGTGTATTTGCATGGTGCTTAGGTGTGTGATATGTTTTAGTAGCTAGCACTGTTTGGAATGATGAACAAGAATTTTAAAAAGCCATCTAATTGTTGCTACCTTTCTCTGCAGTTGGAAATGCCACCAAGTAGGGCTGTGCGATTATGGCAAAAATCATAATCACGATTATTTTGGTCAATAATTGATATCACGATTATTAAAAACGATTATCCATTTACTTTGAAAACATCTATTTATTGAAAAAAAAATTGGAACAGTATATTTTTAACAGTTGATTACCCTGAACTTTAAGTATAATTCAACTGAAAAACCACTAAAAAAAAATATGAAAAAAAATAATTACATTTTTTTTTTTTTTATAAAAATAATAATCGTTTTATTTTGATTACGTTGTTTTCGTAATCGTTGCAAGCCAAAATCGTAATCGAGATTAAAATACGATTAATTGCACAGCCCTACCACCAAGGGTCAGTCCCCAACAGAACATCCAATCAAAGACTGATCAAACAAATACATTAGATGTGAAATGCATCAACGCAGTGAAAGGTAAGAGGATGTTACATCAGCTAGGGCTGTGCAATTAATCGTATTTTAATCGCAATTACGATTTTGGCCTGCCACAATTACGAAAACATAATCGAAAAAAACGATTATTTTGCTTTGCTTGGTTGTGACAGTGCAACATATTTGATCCAATTTATTTGTATTTATCATATTTATATATGTTTAGTAGCTTGTTGAAGTGCGCTCCAAAATATTTGTTTGATCTTGTTTATTGGTATTTATTATTTTGATATTATTTATTTAAATGTATAATTTATTTTATTTATTTTTGTATTGGTTTTTTAGTTGAATTATACGCTCAGGGAAATCAACAGTTAAAAAGATACTGTTCAAATTATTATTTGTATTTAAAAGTTCAATAAATGGATGTTTTCAAAGTCAATGAATAATCGTATTTAATAATCGTGATATCAATTATTGACCAAAATAATCGTGATTATGATTTTTGCCATAATCGCACAGCCCTAACTTAAGGTGTTCATCATATTGTAACATAATCGAATCGTGTAAATGTCAGTCGCTGTTTATCTCCACATTGCTTTTGGAACTACACATAGTCCACAGACTCATCATGCTCATGGCCCCTTTCATTGAACATGTCACATATTGTCTTGCAGGACGTGGTATAATTGCCCATGGTCAGTTTTCCACAGGAGACTTCGTTTTGGAGTACAGAGGGGACCTTATCAATGATAAAGAACTGCAAAGAAGACATTTATCATCCGACATGTGCTACATTTCTTTTTTCATTTAAAGTGGACCTATCATGGTATATTTAAATGATATATTGTAGGGCCATACCTATATAAGGTATATTTAATAATAATAAACAGAAGGGTAACCATGGTTACCATATGCGCGGGAAGTCTTCTTCGCTGCTTTTGTGGCAGACTACAGCGCCACTTACAGGCCGGGCATATGTACTACAGCGTCTCCAGCGCTTTCGAACGGCAATGGCCGTGGCTGTCTCCTCCTGATTGGTGGAGTTGGCCCAATAGCCGTAGCGCCACCGTCCTGACGTCAGGACAGTGTTCAAATCTGGATCAGTTTTTATCAGATCCGTTGCAGCCCCTTTTTTAGAGATTTGGGTATGGAGGAAAATAGAGAGGGTTGTGTTTTCTGACACTTGGTGAGTTCCCTGGAACACCGGGGACACATATTCATGTATAAAAGACGTACAAAAGTGCATTTTGCATGATAGGTCCCCTTTAAGTGGCGAGGGAAGACATGGAGGTAAGATTTGTAGTTTCACAATTACTAAAGCCCATGCTAAACTGCACTGAATGGCAGCGTTTCTGCCAGGGGGGCGTCTTGCCTGAACTCGAGCCGAGGGCGTCCAAAAAAATAAATAATTAGAGAGAAGATCGAGTTGTTATCGCTTGAAATGACGAAAAGGAAAAGGGACAAGGCCATCCCTCTGTTGGAGGGGCAAAGGAGTCTGGTGGGATTCTTTTCGCCGCCAGCAAAGCGTGTTCCTGTGACGGAAAGTGTACTGCCGGCGAGCCTTGACGGGGGGTGCTAGTGGAGCACGCGCGTGAACTGCGAGCGCCGGAGCCTCGCAGCGGCGAAACTGAGGCTCCGTGGTAAACTGTGGTAAAATGAAGGGCTGTTTAGGAGCCGAGAGAGCCGGTATTCCCATCACTAATACGTAAAGAGATAGTATCTATAAGGGACGGCTCAATTCAAAATTCAAGTCACGTGACACGACGTGACGTTACACACACACCCCCCGCTGTCGGGGTGGACGCCCTCTCAGCCCTGGTCTGGCGGAAACACTGCTGAATGGTATATAAGGCTTTAATCAGTTGGATATATGACAGTTATATCCAGCACTAACATCAGAGGAGAACATATATCTCAACTCATAGCATTTTTAAAGGAAGTGAAATGAAGGACTGTTCGTTTTTGTTCCCTTTCCTCTTATTTGTATGCTTAAAGTGGACCTATCATGTTATATTTGAATAATATAGTGTAGGACCATACCTATATAAGGCATATTTATACTTTTTTTTTTTCAAAATACCAAACAGATCATGCATTTTAGCCATGCCTCATTTCGCTCAATTTGAAAAATGTTAGCTCTGTTTTAGCAAGGGCAGATTCAGTGAGAACAGCACCACCTACAGGCCTGGCATATGTACTACAGCGTCTCCAGCGCTTTCGAACGGCAATGGCCGTGGCTGTCTCCTCCTGATTGGTGGAGTTGGCCCAATAGCCGTAGCGCCACCGTCCTGACGTCAGGACAGTGTTCAAATCTGGATCAGTTTTTATCAGATCCGTTGCAGCCCCTTTTTTAGAGATTTGGGTATGGAGGAAAATAGAGAGGGTTGTGTTTTCTGACACTTGGTGAGTTCCCTGGAACACCGGGGACACATATTCATGTAGAAAAGACGTACACAAGTGCATTTTGCATGATAGGTCCCCTTTAAGTATTGATGCCTCAAGGGAAGATGGGTCATTTGGACGGGACGACCACCTTGGGCCCAACTGTCAAATGAAAAGAGTCGATGTGGATGGGAAGCCACATGTATGCTTGTTCGCCCTAGAGGACGTACAACAACAAGGAGAGGAAATGACATACAACTACGGTGGTGATGACTTCCCATGGAGAATGCAAGTAAGTGACACAACTAGTGTTGCAGAATGTCTCAGAAAAACATTAATGTTAAGCCAGCTCTTTTTCAAATTAAAATAAAAAGTACTCTGAGAACTCTATTTAGCCTCCGTGTTGTTTCTGGTTGAAAGTGGGCCGCGAACATGTTTTAGATTCTTAAGTGTTGAAAAAGGTTGGGAACCGCTGGCATAAAGCATCAAATAGTGTAATGTTTTAGGTACATTTTGATGTCAGTACGTTTGGACATTTACTTATTAACGATACAAATGCAAAGCTCTTCTGGTTTAGCAACAGGCCGTTTTATCAACTTCCCTGAATCCTGCAATAACTCATTATTTGTACCGTGGCTTTTGCACAGCTGAGCAACAAACCGGCTGTTAAGAAAACCCTTTTGGAGATATCACACACAGCTAAACAAGATGCATGTTAGTGCCAGGTGTGAACTGAAACGCTGACTAATGAGAGATTCCCACCCTGCACTGGTTTGACATCAATAATCTCCTGAGATCTTCCCCTGATATTTAACAACACCACGACGGAACTGAAGCAGGACAATATCAACTATACAGCGAAAAACCATCACACCGTTATACCGAGAAGCTAAGTATGTTACACTGAAGTCTATCGGGTCACATTTACACGTTTGAAGAGCAAACACATCAGAACCACAAGTGGGGACGGGAATATCCAGAATCCACAGGGGGGTGGGGGGGAGTAGAGCTTCCTGTGGTGTCTTTAGGGAAATATATCCAATAGAGTGGTGCAGGGATGTCGTATTTCTGTGTTGGACCCTGAAGGCAACGTCTCCCCGGTCCAATGGGAGGTTAGTCGTCTCATTTAGACACTTGTTAGCAGTGTTTAAAATTCACCAGTGGGGTATTTACCGGCGTATTTAAACGTTAAAATCTCTTCAGCTCGTGTTAACCACAGACCTTATTAACACATATTAAACCCCATTGACTTCAGGACTAGATAACTGCTAGAATGCGGACTCATTGCAGGGTTTTAGGACTCATTCCTGCACCACGTGAGGATATTAAGAGAGTCTGAAGCATGATGGGAAACGGCGTCAGGTCCACGCCACGTTAAAAAACAACACATATTAAACCCATATTGACTTCGGTACGAGGGAACTGCTAGAATGCTGACTCATTGCAGGGTTTGTAGGACTCATTCCTGCACCACTCTATACCCTGGGAGGCTAAAAAGATCAAAGAGAGTCCGGAGCAGCAGGCAAAGCATGATGGGAAACGGGCGTCAGGTCCACGCCACTTTGCGGGAAATGGCCTGTTTGAAGCACTCGGGGTCCACGTTCCCTCCGGGCCTCAGAGCCCTCTCCAGGCTCACCAGCAGGTTCTGGTGGCGCTCCCGGATGTTGACGGGGTACCGGGCCCTCAGCAGCTCGTAGGCGGCGATCAGCCTCATGTTCTGCTTCACCATCAGGTACTGGATGATGCACGTGGGTGCCAGCGAGAACCCGTCTCTGCAGTGCACCAGGACGCGCTTCCTCTTCTCCGTGGAGGCGCCGATACACTCGTTTATATCCTCGAAACACCGCTGCTCCGGCACGTCTCCGATATCCACTTTGAGTCGAGACCACGTGTGTCTGGCACCACGAGAACAGGTGCACGGGATCACGTTCAAAATGGGACCCGGATCCCCCGAAACGCTGCTCATATCGATGATGCTGTCGATGTTATTGCGGCAAAGCGAACGGCCGTTATACGCCGCGTTCAGATTTCCAACGTAGATGAAATCCGTCACTCTGGAGATCACGGGTTCGGAGTATTGGAAGTGTTGTTGTTGTTGTTGTTGTTCCACTGGTTTGGGTTTGGTTTCGGGTGTTTCGGGGCCCCGGGCTCCCGCGGGTCCAGTGGCGGCTCGACGGCTGTAGTTACGAAGCTTTTTTTTGGATCCGGAGCGAGACGGAGGGTTGGATTCGGACTCGGAGCTGCTGTTCCACGGCGGAGAGAAGAGAGAGAAGCGGCTCGAAGACGAGGATGATTTGTGTTTGTTGAGGATTTCCACGGGGGAGGACAGGCCGGAGCTGGAAGAGCAGAAGAGGGACGCTCGCTCCAGAGACCCGGTGCTGCTGGCTGCTCCTGCACTGTGGGCCTGCTCCATCTGAAACACACACACACACACACACACATCTGTAGGACTGACGTACATTTCTTTACATTTACAGAGGCAGAGCGCTGCAGTGTGTTTCCTCTGGTATGTTGGTCAATGTGTCACTAATGCTCAGTTATGGCGCATTTCCACCGCAGGCCTCGCTCGACTTAGTACGGTTTTGTTAGGCCTTGTTAGGCCCGACTCACTTCATGCTGCGCTTCCATTACAGTTTAGGAACTGGGGTAGTATCTATAGTAACGCAGTGTAGGCGGAGCCGTGACGTCATCTTCAATGAGAACCCCAGAAAAACAACACAGCCGTTAGCTGTTAGCACTCAGAGCTCCTCATATCTGTTCAGAAACTAGACAAAAGTTAAACAAGTACACACCACAGACTGCCTGTGTCATGGAGAATACAGTCGCTGCTTTATTTATGTCTGTATAGGCCGTTGTTGTGAGTGTGGACGGTCGGAGCATATACTGCGTTAGCTTAGCCAATCTCCATTCAGAAAACACGCATTTTAAAAGGTTTTTCGCCTGCCGTCTGTCTGCAGACTTGACAAAGCATTAATTCATGGTTTTTACTAACCGGTATCAGTATGTTGTTACTTCGGCATCATTTTGAAACGTGTATTACAATTAAATCACGGTTCATCTTGTTGTAGTTGTAGCCCCCTTGCCAGCGATTCTCTCTCTAGTTTAGCATACTCAGCCCGACCGACTCAGCCTGGTTGTTTTTAAATAAGGCTTCAAATGTCTGTAAGAATACTTAATTACCTCAGCCTAAACAAATTAAACTATTTTCCACACTTTCAAGACTTTTTATAAACCATCGCCCTGTATGTAGGAGGACTTCAAACCTTTGTGGGAATTTTGGATACTTGTTCTTGTTCTTGTTTTATGTTTTCAAACAGTCCCTCGTTTTGCTCGGTTACTCTCAGGTGTGTGTGTGTGTGTGTTGGTACCTGTGCTTTGAGGTTGTTCTTCCACTCCTGCGTCTCCAGAGCTTTGAAGCGCCCGCTGCTGTCGGAGGAGACGGACATGCAGAGGGGCCGGTGGGCTCGGGGGGGCAGCTGGGGGGTGAGGGCCGCGGGGGGCCGCACATCAAAGTGATCGCTCCTACTCATCATGAGGTCCGGACACGAGCCTGGGGTCAAACATGGAGGACAGTCTGAGGTCAGCGTCACACATCAAGGCTTTATTGTCATTAGCACATTAGCTACAGCTGAAGTCACTCCTCCAACAGTGCAATGTATATATATATATAGGACATAGTTAAAGTACTTTTAGTAAACAGAGCTGGGAGAAGTACACAGATCATGTAGAAGTACCCAGATCTGGTACTTGAGTAAAAGTAGAAGTACTCAGATCTGGTACTTGAGTAAAAGTAGAAGTACTCAGATCTTGTACTTGAGTAAAAGTAGAAGTACTCAGATCTTGTACTTAGTAAAAGTAGAAGTACTCAGATCTTGTACTTGAGTAAAAGTAGAAGTACTCAGATCTTGTACTTGAGTAAAAGTAGAAGTACTCAGATCTTGTACTTGAGTAAAAGTAGACGTACTCAGATCTTGTACTTGAGTAAAAGTAGAAGTACTCAGATCTTGTACTTGAGTAAAAGTAGAAGTACTCAGCATTGCATATTTGCACATTTTATATAATTTATACTAATTATTGAGATAGTATTTATTAACTGATTAAACCGTATTAATTGAAATGTCGTCTGGCAGGTGCTGGTCGGGTCCTCGGCTCCGCCTTGAAAAGATAGGGGAGTGAGCGAGAGCGCAGAAAGTGTTTGCTGGTGTAGAATGACAGCGGTTGAGAGTAATCAGGGTGCAAATAATATGTGAGGGTGTAGAAATCATAGCGTTAAGTGGCATTAATTGTGCTGACTGTGTTTAAGTTGGGTTTGTATGTGTGTGATTCTGTTCAGTTATATGTTTGTGTTAGGAAAGTGTTCCCCCTCCCGTTTTGTCTGTTGCTCCTGATTATGTTCACCTGGTGCCCTGTGTTGTCTCCTCCCCCCTCACCTGTGTCTAATTGCTCCCCCCTCACCTGTGTCTAATTGCTCCACCCTCACCTGTGTCTTGTTGATTAATTAGTGTGTGTATTTAGGCTCTGTGTTTCCTGTTTGTAATGGGGTGTGAGATCCTGGTGGCTGTGCTCACGGGAACAGCAGATTGAGGCTGTGTCCTGTGACCGAATTTAATAAATGCCCATACCGGGTTATATTTGTGGACGTTCTGCCTCTGCCTCCTTGCTTGGTCGGGCCGCTCAACGGTCAGTCTCACAGTCCATTTCAGAATAATATATATGATATGTTTTATAATGATTGATCATGAAAGTGTTCTCAAAGCTGGTAAAGGTGCAGCTAGTTTGAATGACTTTGTATACTGCAGGGTAGCTTGTGAGTTTACTCCAGGTGGAACTAAAGCCTGATTTAACACTTGGTTATATTTCACATCATTCATCCACATCTGTGAAGTAACTAAAGGTATTAAATACATGTAGTGGAGGAAAAGTACACCATGTACCTCTGAACTGTAGAGGAGTAGGGACCTAATATTTTGTGATTTGCATTTGATTTCCTCCAGCCAGATCAGGAAACTCCTGGCGTATCCGGCGGACAACACATGACGGGATGAACACTCTGATGCCTCGTCCTAAAAAGCCCCAGCACCAGCTTACAAAGCTGCGATAGGCAAGATGCCGAAAACGCTTATAAGGGGAGGAATGGATGATATATAGTGTATATGTATATTTACATATGTTCATTTTGTACATTTCTAAAAATAAAGTTTGATGGAAATACTTAGTAGCCTTTCTTCCCTGAATTATTTGCTCCTATAACATATCATTCATATATAGCAAACCATGATTTGATTTTTCATCAAACACAATAGTAGTTTATTATTACAGGTAAAAATAATAGAATAGAATATGGAGGGATGAAACCCTCTTTAATGGTCACACATGCAGAGCACACACAGTGACATGTGTTCTCTGCTTTTAACCCATCCTAGTACCAGGAGTCTAGTACTAGGAGCAGTGGGCAGCTATTGTACAGCGCCCGGGGAGTGAGGGGGGAAGGGGGAGGTCCGGTGCCTTGCTCAAGGGCACCACGGCAGGGCAGGAGGTGAACTGGGACCTCTCCAAGTAGAAGTCCACACTCCATATTTAGGTCTGGTCAGGGACTTGAACCGACGACCCTACGGCTCACAGTCTAAGCCGCTCAGAGCCGAAAAAAGCATGTGTGTTAGACATGGGCGGAGCCTCTCTGGTGGTTGACTAATCAGAACAGAGTGGCCGAGCTGACCAATCGGAGCACACTGGGCTCACAAGGAGGGGGGGGGGGGGGCAGGAGCTCCAACAAGCCGTTTAGGACAGAGAGTGAATACACATACTATACAGAGATGCTGTATGAGAAACCAATGTGAGTTTGGAACATTGAACAATGTAAATCTATTCTAGTATACCTCAACAATGGAATTATGATCAGTAGAAATGGCCATGTCATGGGACCTTTAAAGCTCAATAAATAACCATGAAGACCTCTGACTGGCACTTTTCTAATTTTGTCCGGAAGATTTAAACTTTTACGGACATGTTGACCGGCGGAAAAAAACTGAAACTCTGCCGCACGATTCCCTCGTCCCTTGGAAGAGGCGGAGAGGTGGGTGTTTTTCATCTGCTAGTGGACTACCGGAGACATTTACAGCAGGAGCACACGTTTGCCTGGGGGAGGGAGAAAAAGAGCCAGAGCGTCCACAGCGGAGAATAAACAGAAGGGCAACCATGCTCGGGAAGTCTTCTTCGCTACTTTTGTGGCAGAAGTACAGCGCCACTTACAGGCCCGGCATATGTACTACAGCGTCTCCAGTGCTTTCGAGCGGGCTTGTGTGAACGGACACGTTTCTGGTGCCTATTGCGTGTGGACGGAATACTTTTTTGATATCGATTTCGGTCCGTTTGCGTTATCGTCCTCGTGTGGCTCCAGCCTGAGTAGAACAACCATTTGATTTTCTACAGAAATATTCACTAACTGGGTGGTGTACATTGTACACATTGTTCATTTTTCAGAATCTGATCATATATGGTTCACCTTGAGACGCATACAAATACATAAAATACTGAGTATACAGATTGCACTACCTGCCGTCATAACTTGAAGTGATCAGAAAACTATTTACTCAGAAATAAACTTTTGCCACTTCTTTATATGTCAGGGGAACAAGAAAAGTATTTATTGTCTCAGAATGTTGTGTTCAAAAAGTGTGTCATACTTGCACACATAACTAGTGGAAGGAATGCACTCCTTTTTCATTAGTAAAATACTGTATATATATATATATATATATATATATATATATATATATATATATATATACACACACACACATGTATTTTTTTTAATAATTTTCAATTGAGGGAAAAATGATGGGTCTCTAGTGTGTTTTAAAGGAGTAACTGAAGGATTAATGCTTGAATTATAGTATATTGGTACAACATGTATTGACAGTTATCAACAGTTAAAGGTGGGGTAGGTAAGTTTGAGAAACCGGCTCGAGATACACTTTTTGTTATATTCCATGGAATGCTCTTAACATCCCGATAGCAATGAATATCTGAAGTGCTTTGACAACAAATCCATAATAAATATCATCTGTGGAAGCTGTAGTTCTGTAAAAAGCACGACCAATCATCTGAGCCGGCCCGGCTAAAATAACTGGATGGCCTACCTGCCTGTCAGCCTTCCATCTGTGCACAAACTTATCTCGTGCCCTCATTGGTCATGTGCGCGTTCGTGTGTGTTGGAGGAGGGGCTCTGTAAGGAAGTGGCAGATTTTCTCCGGTTGTGTATTTTCAAATTCTAGCAATCTCGAGCTGGTTTCTCAAACTTACCTACCCTACCTTTAACAACAGTATCAACAATATCTGATCATAAAACATTAGGCTGCAGTGGTTTCACAAACCAGGGAAATTACAATGTTACATCTCAGCTGTCTGTTGTGTGATGTTAATTGTATTTTGTCCACCTTTCTGCACACTGCTTGTATAGTTTACCAAGTCATTATTCCATAATCTAGACTTTATTTTGTGATATTTTGTTAAAGTTTCTCATGATTTTGAGCTATTGAGTTAACATTACGAGAAAGTTGTTTTTAAGTCATTAAAAAAAAAACGAAATAAGTTTCTCCTTGTTGAAAGACACCTCCTTTGAGACAGATTATCATTAATTGAGTAAACAAAATCCATTATTTAAAGATGTGTTTTCATTATAATGACTTACATGTAGTGTCCTTACATCACGAGGCTCAGTTTGCATTAAAAACACATTATATTTACTTATATTTCTCCATGGAGGATTGGACCTACCAGCACATTCTGAGCGGGCGATGGAGTGAATCTGCAGAGTGTTCTGAGTTTTCAACAGGCTGTGGAGGGTTCTCACTATACCTGCAGAAAGAGACGGAAGCCTTTTAGTAAACAGAGGAGGAAGAAGTACTCCGATCATGTAGAAGTACTCCGATCATGTAGAAGTACGCCGATCTTGTACTAAAAGTAAAAGTACCAGAGTGTAGGAATACTCTGGTACAGTAAAAGTCCTGCATTCAAAATGTTCCTCAAGTAAAAGTAGAAAAGTATTATCATCAAAATATAGTGAAAGTAGCGACAGTAAAAGTAGTCGTTGTGCAGATTGGTCCATTTCAGAATAATATATATGATATGTTTTATAATGATTGATCATGAAAGTGTTCTCAAAGCTGGTAAAGGTGCAGCTAGTTTGAATGACTTTGTATACTGCAGGGTAGCTTGTGGATTTACTCCAGGTGGAACTAAAGTCTGATTTAACACTTGGTTATATTTCACATCATTCATCCACATCTGTAAAGTAACTAAAGGTATTACATACATGTAGTGGAGTAGAAGTAGCATAAAATGGAAATACTCAAGTAAAGTAAATCAACATTTTATTTAGGTAAAGTACTTGAGTAAATGTACTTAGTTACTTTACACCACTGTAGGTCACCTTGTAGCAGAATAAAGCCTGAAATCATTATTCACCATGTACAGTTTGATGAAGACATACTGATTATAAGAGCATCTCACCGATCCTTCCATTCTGCTTGCAGAGCACCTTTTTATCCAGCAGTAGTTGGTGTGCACTCGGGTCTTTGTTCCTCCACTCCTCCTCGGCTTCCATCATCCTGCTGACACAGAGCCACAAACACCCGGCCCGTCATCTTCAGCAAGCCGAGAAACACTTCAGCTCCATCGGACGGACATCGCTTCCCCGACACCATGGATGTTATAAAGAGATCTGGAGCTCCATTCATTCCTATGAGAGCTGCTCAGTGGCGCATGAAGCTCAAAAAGGCCTGAGCAGAAGGACCCGTGTGTGGGCCCATGGAGCATGCGCAGTTGAGTTTCCCCTTAAGCCCAGCCTCCTATTTCCCTTGCTCTCTGTCAGTCAAATGAATGGAGAGCGAAAATAACTCTGGATTCAGCTTTCAGCGTATTCTACAACTTGTAGACCATCATGATTTAAACACGGGCTATAAAATAGTTCCTGGTGGGTAGTTTGTTTAGCTCAAGAAAAATTATCCGCTGATTTACAGACGTCTCTTTCCCCAATGGAAGTCAATGAGGAAAAGTATTTTTTGGGCCCAATGGCGTCACGGACGTTGTAGTACCGCCGGTTGGCCACTACGAGAATTAGCTTTGCCTGACTGTTAGCATAAGCTATCCGCTAACGGGCGAGCTAACTTAGCCCAGAGTGTGAGTCATGTTGTTGAGCTGATGGAGGCGCTAACTAGCGGTTATTTCTGCACCGAGAGGGGGAGTAGGATCGAAGAGAAATAAAGCATCTAAGCCGGGGAACAGGGCTAACATGACGACTCGGTAAAAGTCGCAAACTAACCGCCGCTTGTTAACATAACGAGTAGCCGTTGGTTAGCATAACGAAGAGCCGTTGGTTAGCATTACTAACCGCCGTTGGTTACTATAGCTACCCACTAACCGCTGCTCCCTTGCGGCTTGTTGCGCAGCTACCACCGCATATTGAGTCCCATCGAGCCGCTACACACCACCGGCTGACGTCGGTGATAAACACCCACACATTTGATCCATTTAATGCGGGGCTAGAAGACTAGTTGACCGGCTAACAGGTAGCTGCATGAGCCGAGCATGCAGCATCTCCAGCTGCGAGAGGATGGAGGGTGTTTGTTTCCCTGAACGCAGCCTGACAGGTAGTGTTCAGGGAGAGGTGGGGAGAAATACTCAGATCTTGTAGTAAAAATAGAGTACGCAGGTCTTGTACTTAAGTAAAAGTATAAGTATTCAGATATTGTACTTGAGTAAAAGTAGAAGTACTCAGATATTGTACTTGAGTCAAAGTAGAAGTACTCAGATATTGTAGTTGAGTAAAAGTAGAAGTAGCCTACTCAGATCTTATACTTGAGTAAAAGTAGAAGTACCAGAGTGTAGGAATACTCTGTTACAGTAAAAGTCCTGCATTCAAAATGTTCCTCAAGTCAAAGTATAAAAGTATTATCATCAAAATCTAGTTAAAGTAGCGACAGTAAAAGTAGTGATTGTGCAGATTGGTCCATTTCAGAATAATATATATGATATGTTTTATAATGATTGATCATGAAAGTGTTCTCAAAGCTGGTAAAAGTGCAGCTAGTTTAAACTATTTGTGAATGAAATCCAGGTTTATTTAATGAGTGTGACGTAATGTACACTGCTTCTATTCTGTATATTTGTAAATGTATTGTGTGTATTCAATATATATGTTCAGTCCTTCATTATTGATATATTCACTGTTTTGCGTATTTTGTTTATCTTCTGCTGATATACATATCTTTATTGTTTGTCGAAAAATGTCCCAAATTGCTATATTTGCTACGTAACTAAAGGTATTAAATAAATGTAGTGGAGAAAAGGTACAATATTTATTTACATATTAAATATGAATTCACTACTGAAGCTATTGCAATATGCATGTTTGTACATTTGTATCCTGTGCACCTTTTTTTAACCTTCTATTTCTATGATTATTTTTCATTGACTTTATATTTCAGTTGATTTGATCTTTTATCTTATTGTCAAAAAGCTAAATTAACAAACCCCAGTAGTTGGATATCGTTGTATAAATCCTACTTCCCTGCGTGTATAATTAAAATATATTTTCTTATATAACAACCTTTTTTTAATGTTAAAAATATGTGTTTTGCAAAACGTTGTACACACTGCAGGTGAATGGGGTAAAACATATACCTAACAGTTATCACCGTGAAACATCCCCACTTCATTACTGACTTTAACACAAGTATTTTTTATATTACAAGTTTTCTGAAGTGTTATGTTTCAATATGCTAATGTAGCTTTATGTAATGCTAACTTTCTGAGAATTTAGGAAGAATCTACACACACAAAGAGACAGTCCAAACTATTATATGCTCTGTGTATATTCTCTATTTCTGCCTGCTGTTTTCCACCATTACACATTTAATGGTTAAATAAAGACATGGTTTAAAGAAACACGACTTCTCATAAAGAGACCCACATTAATGATGATGATCGTCAGTGTGTGTAACTCACCGTGTGTGTGTGTTTGTGTTGTCCGGCTGTTTCTCGGTGTGTCAGCTGCAGCTCTGAGAGCAGATCTGGAGGCTGGCTCTTTTCTCTTCTTCTTCTTCTTGTGTTTAATTGGATGGCCGCGGCCTCTCTTCAGGTATCCTGGTAACCCGCCGTCCTGCTGATGTCACAGCTCTCCATAATGAAGTGTGAGTGTATCTAGCTGCCTTTGTCAATAACCTGTAGGCAGGCGGGGAAATTCACAGGAGATAAGGCCCGACAATGAAGGCCACGTCTGTCTACACACTCCTCTGGCTCCTCTCACACACTTAATATCACACATCATCACCTCAAACTATCTTTAATTTACTAGAGTTTATGTCTATGTATTTAGATTAAGTCTCATTTATTCAGATTCCTTTGAAAAAAAGGATATCATGCTGGTGTTTTTTTTGTTCAGATAATACTGCATACAGTGGTGCAGTGATGATGTATGTGTATAAGCAGACCCTGAAGGCAGCATCTCCCTGTTGTTGGGCTATAAAGGAACTACAGTACGGTCACATGACTTCACATCAACACCGCTAAGCTAAAGGAGGCTAATGTTGGGCTGTAAAGGAACTACAGCACGGTCACATGACTTCACGTCACCACCGCTAAGCTAAAGGAGGCTAATGTTGGGCTAAAAAGGAACTACAGCACGGTCACATGACTTCACGTCACCACCGCTAAGCTAAAGGCGGCTAACGTTGGGCTATAAAGGAACTACAGCACGGTCACATGACTTCACGTCACCACCGCTAAGCTAAAGGCGGCTAATGTTGGGCTATAAAGGAACTACAGCACGGTCACATGACTTCACGTCACCACCGCTAAGCTAAAGGTGGCTAACGTTGGGCTATAAAGGAACTACAGCACGGTCACATGACTTCACGTCACCACCGCTAAGCTAAAGGTGGCTAACGTTGGGCTATAAAGGAACTACAGCACGGTCACATGACTTCACGTCACCACCGCTAAGCTAAAGGTGGCTAACGTTGGGCTATAAAGGAACTACAGCACGTCACCACCGCTAAGCTAAAGGAGGCTAATGTTGGGCTATAAAGGAACTACAGCACGGTCACATGACTTCACGTCACCACCGCTAAGCTAAAGGTGGCTAATGTTGGGCTATAAAGGAACTACAGCACAGTCACATGACTTCACGTCACCACCGCTAAGCTAAAGGAGGCTAATGTTGGGCTATAAAGGAACTACAGCACGGTCACATGACTTCACGTCACCACCGCTAAGCTAAAGGTGGCTAATGTTTGGCTATAAAGGAACTACAGCACGGTCACATGACTTCACGTCACCACCGCTAAGCTAAAGGAGGCTAATGTTGGGCTATAAAGGAACTACAGCACGGTCACATGACTTCACGTCACCACCGCTAAGCTAAAGGTGGCTAATGTTGGGCGTGATGACGTTTAGTCGTCTCATTTAGACACTTGTTAGCAACCTCTGTTTTTAAATTCACCAGTGGGGTATTTACTGACGTATTTTATGTCTTGGAATAAAAATCTCTAACAACTAAAAGGCTAACAACCAAAAATACATTCAGAAAACCATTGATTTCGAGACCAGGGGACAGGAAGTGATGAAGTAATGATGATGAGTAATTCCTGCAAGACTCATTTGGATGATGAGGGTGCAAAGCCTATTGTATACACTTTTATGTTGAAACATCTACATAAAAGTGTAGGGAAGTTTCTCTTACCTAATTTTATATCTTTTGGTCTATTCTGTCAAACATTCTAATTTCAGAGAGTTAAAAGTAGCATCCACTTTAACATTGTTTGACCTGTAATAATACACCAACATGTTTTTGGTTTTCTGGGTTTCTCCTGTTGCCTCGGTTATTTAAATAACACTCTCTGCTATATAACATATACATACAATATCATTATTATTCATTATTAATAATGTTCAATCAACGTTTGTTGCACTACTAAATACTGTTCATATTTACATTAATTATGTGACCGTCTATGTTTCCTGTAGTTATTTAATTGCTCTTTTTACTGCACTGTTAGTGTACAGTTTTATTCTTGTGCTGCTGTGTTTATTGTATTTTTGTAACTCTGGCACAACATTTTCCTTCGGGATAAATAAAGTCTTATCTTATCTTATTGCAGGTCAAATGCGATCGTATTTCAGCATCAGGTGCAGACGGTAAAAATCAAAGCTCTCAGTTTCCTCCTGAGGTCGGGGAAGATTTAATGAGTCGCACCTCCTCTGGAGGCCTGAAGCAGCAGGGAGACATCCTGCCGACTCAGCTTGATTGGTCTCCAGTCTTAATTTAAATCCCTCGTCTGTGGAGGCACAATACGTCTCGTAACATAATTAAATTACATCTGAACTCACACTCACTGGATAAGAGACATCCTTTTTTTCCTGAAGATGGAAAGGATTAGGTTTTCTCTGAGTGGCTCCTCAAATACATTTGGGGAAATATGGGAACCTTTTTACAAATGTGTTAAGAGTAGGGGTTAAATTGGGCCCCGGCACATAGGACGATGCTCTGACGTCATCACCCTCGCACATTTGTATTAAAAAAACTATATGTTAAAACTTTTCTCGTTCTTAATATAGACTATATTTAGGGTCGATATGTGTTGACTTTACTTTAAAGTCCCCCCCGCCCGGACTCCGCTGCTCCTCGGTGCAGAGAGTCTGCAGCGGTGCCGCGAAACCCCCGACCCGTCCTGTAACACGGAGCCCGTTTCCTAAACCATTCTAAATGTATGTGTGTGTGTGCATAAAGCTGAGTTATGATCGGTCATAATAACATTTGGTGATGATTCAATCGTTTACAGTGAAATGTACAGCATACTTTTGGCCATAATCTCGCAGCCCTACAAATGAACTGAGATTTCCACACAAATATTCTTTAGCAAGTGTGCAGAGACATTTTGATTTAAAATAGCAATTTGAAGGTTGGATATGTGTATACATTTTTGTGTGTACATTAATAATTTAAGATATAAATTAATTCCAATTTATTTGTAGTACTTTCTATTTGTATTGTGTCATTTGGTGGCATCAACGTGTGCATAATGGAGCAGTTCCTTTAGGGCCTCATATACAGTATAGCCCTCAAGGTCTAATAATGAGATCCTCGATAATTGTGATTTCATGAAATATATTTAATACAAATTACAGCACATTTTGCAAAGTCTCTATTGTTTAATTAACATACAGAAAGTGCTCAGGATGATTGAAATGCAATCTAGAACTTAAATATAAGTGTTAATATAAAATATAAAATACAGAGTAATCATATAGAAGTTTTTAGAAAGAGCAGTTGAGGAATAAGAGAGTAAGAACTAAATAAAATGACAAATTAGAAGAAAAAAATCCTGTAAGCCTTTATGATAACTTATAAGTTATCATAAAGGCTTACAGGATATTATTTGTCATATTAAGTCATTATTTTAATATGACAAAAAATATCTTAGTATCTCAAAATAAAAATGATTATTTTGCAAATATTTCAAAGTGCATCATTTATTTTGACAAACGTAGTATTTTTACACTTATGAAGTCCTTATTTTGTCATGTACTGTTGTTCTGTCATT